CTTTTTGAGTTCATCAAGATGTTTCACACTCTTCTTGTACTTTTTTTGGGCCCAGACCTGGAATCAGTCACCCCTTAAAGGAGCTTTTTTGTTCCTTTAGTGGAGAATGGTCTTCACAACCTGGGGCTGTTCATTGTTGCTAAGTTTGCCCCACTTCTAAAACTACTTAGTGCATATGTGGTGGGTTTTTTTTTTTTTTTTTTTTTGTGCTTCGTTTTTTTGAGGTAGGGTCTCACTCTGTTGCCCAGTGGCCTGATCTTAGATCACTGCAACCTCGAGCTTCTGGGCTCAAGTGATCCTCCTACCCCAGCCTCCCAAGTAGCTGGGACTACAGGCATGTGCCACCATGCCTGGCTTTTAAAATTTGACTTATTATTAGTATGTTATTCCAAAATCAAAACTATAGAAGGCGCATCAAGAGAAGTTTCCATTTTTGATTCCTGTCTCCTCCATGCTGTTCCCTCTTCTGTAACGTTTTTTAAAATTAGTTTTTGGTTTCTCTATCTAGTATTTCTATTTCCAAATATTAGCACACACACAAGTATCTGTATACCCCTCGCACCCTTTCCTTCCTGATTCATTTTTACAGTAAATAGTCCATTGGTGAAAATACTGCATGTTCTCACTTATAAATAGGCACTAAGCCATGGTACACATGGTCACCCAGAGTGGTGGTAATGGACATTGGAGACTGAGAAAGGGGGAGGGACGAAAATTACCTACTGGGTACAGTGTACACTACTCCAGTGATGGGTACGCTAAAAGCCCGGACTTCACTATACAGTTCATCCATGTAACCAAAAACCACTTGTACCCTTAAATCTATTGAAATTAAAAAAAAAATACTGGCGAATAATGTAGCTTGAGATTTTTTTTTTTAACCGTAATCTGGCTAATAGTTCAGAACTACTGAAGTCTGGCTAGAGAGATGAGGAAACACTTCCTTTTAAAACTTTTAAATAGGAACAGTTTTTCTTGAAGCCCACTTTTCTAAGAGAAACCACCACTAAAAATTGTTTTTCACGCTCTCCGTGCCTCCCTGAGCCACCAGGAAAAGAGTTCGACACATTGGGGATGGCACTTGTGCTTCACCATCTGCCACATGCGTCCTGCGGCCGGTTGCTCGGATGGGGTGGGCAGTTGCATCTTGCGCCGTTTGGTGACCCCTCCAGCCCCACAGGTCTCCGGAGAAGCGCGGAAGTCTCCGCCGCTGTTTCTGGCCCCCGAGCGCAGTTGCGCACCCGCCGGTCCCCTACCGAGCCCGGGCGCCCCGCCTGCGCACGCGGTGCCGGGATTGGGGGCGGGAGCGCCGCCTCCGTCTCCCGCGCGCTCGCTCCCGCCCTCGCTCCCCGCCCCGAGCCCTCGCCTGCCTCCGCCGAGCAGGCTCCGCACTGCAGATGCCCTGGCTCCCTTGCGCTCGCTCGGCGGCGTCCCGCAGGTCCCCTGGCCCCTCGAGCACCGGCGGCACTCTCGCTGCTCCCGAGGGGCCCTCGCCCGCGCTCGTTCGCCGAGCCCCGTGAGCGCAGCCGTTACGCCGGTGGGGCAGCGGGGACCGGGGCGGACGGTGGCGGCGCCGGAGCCCGGGGCGCTCTCGGATGCGGCAGGACAAGCTGACCAGCTCTCTGAGGCGCGGGGGAAGATGCCTGAAGCGGCAGGGTGGCGGCGGCGTGGGCACCATCCTGAGCAATGTGCTCAAGAAGCGCAGCTGCATTTCCCGGACCGCGCCCCGGCTGCTCTGCACCCTGGAGCCGGGTGAGGACCCGGGGCTGCAGGCGGGGCGCCGCGAAGTAGCCTGGCGCCCCGGAGCCGGTGCCGCGCGCGCCTCTGCCCGAGCTGGACTCCGCCTAGGCCAGGGAGCGCCCGCACGCCGCCCGCTGCGGGCCACCGCCGCTTGTTGCCGGCGCGGCTCGGTCGGCCTGGGCGGGCAGAGCGCGCGGCGCGGGCCTGCGGGGTGCAGGGCTCCGAGGGCGCGGAAAGCCCGGCTGCCGTGCCGCCGTCGCGGCCGCCCGCCCCGCGGCCTGTGCGCCCGGCCTGGTCCGCGCGCTGGGGAAGGCGGGCGGCTGCCCCGGCCGCCAGAGGCCGCGCCACCTATTGTGCTGCGGGCTCGCAGGAAGCCAGACCTTGGAAGAGGTGTGTGGGGCGGAGACAGGCACAGGTTTGTCACTAGAGGTCGGAGGGGAAGGCAGCGGCTGCGGAGGCAAAAACTGGGTGTATTTTCCTGAGAGTCCCTGCGGCGCGAGTGCCGGGGTCAGCTCGCACCGGCGCCTCTAATTTGCGTCCAGGTGGGGAGCCGGCGGGCGATCCTTTCTGTAGGTGAGGTCCGGGGGCGCGTCTGGCGGTGCCAGGCTAGGCCTTTTCTGCCACAGCCTGTGTTTACACGTCCCTGCTTCTCCAGGCTGCATAACTCCGCGTCAGCTCCGCCACCCGGCTTCCCTCCCTGGGGGTTTAAGAGCCCGGCCCTGGCGCGGGCTCCTGGGCACGGAGGTTTCTGGCAAGCGGCGTGGCCGCAGAGGAAGCCGGCTCCACTCGCTCTCCTCGCACCGGTGCTTGGTGCTCACCCGTCCCTGGAGGGGCACGAGCTGGGCTCCAGGCGGGCTCGGCGTCCCCAAACCCGGTCTCCCAGTGCCTTTGGGGACTTGCGATCGTAGAGCTGCGGGAGAATCGGCCCAGGCAGTGAGTCCCAAAGGGTGGAACGCGTCGCTGCCTTTCCGAACCTCCTGGTTCCTTTGTTTTTCTCCCCTAGGAAGTATCTAGTTGCAGAGGCTGTAGTATTTATTCACCGTCTTCCTTTACTTCTTTTTTTTTTTAATCTCCTTCCCACGTGAAAAGTGTTTTGTATTTCTGAATCCGGAACAGCTGTGACTATCAGATGAAACATAAACCTTCTCCCCTCCCTTATTCAAGTTAGAAGAAAAGGGGGTGAAAATGACCTGGTTTAAGCTTTTGCATGCAGACGGCGCAGTGGTCAATCCCAGTTAAATCCTCTTACTCATTTTTGATCATGAGAAGATAGTTGTGGTTTTGGCTAACTAACCCCTGCTGGGTTCCCACGCGGGAAGTCAATAGATGCGACTCCCCCTGGGTGCTCTGGGAAAGTCAGTGGAGCATATTCGGTCATCCATACAGGGAATTGGGGGCTGTTGAGCGCAGCGAGAGTAAATCGGCGCGGGACCAAATTTCCTGGTCTTTGTTATAATAAAGCAAGCGTCCTGACTCCACGCTCCTCCATTCAGCACCGTGCGTCTGGACAGCAACCTCACTACAGGTCTTGTTTTCACGCCTTAAATCTAGCACGGTAGCTGGAGGCACCGCTGTGGCACTGAGGTAGTACTTCATTAAGCCATCTCAGAGAGATGAGGATCCATGGGGTACTTAATATTCCTTTGGAGGATAAAATCTTACCTATCCAAGCAGGGTATGGTTTTGACCCTGAAGCTTTGGGGGAAACAAAAAAACTCAAGGCATTGATTGGATGCCTGGGATTCTCTACAGCTTGACTTTAGAAATGTAGGACCCAACTGGTGCATTCACAGCGCTCTTCCAGGGCGCCAAGAAGGGCATCTGCATGTTGTTGTGGGCTTGGGCAAACCAGATACATCTCTTTCCAGCTTCTTGATTCCATATATATATTTCTTTAAAAAGACCAGCATACTTTACTATTATTATCTTATACATTTTGAAGATTGTTGCTATCCATACCAACCCCTAAGCAGAAGTTGTGGAGAGGTTTTCAGTATACCTAATCTGCAGTCAACAATCTTAAAAGCAAAAATGTCATCATTTGACTTTAGCAAGTTGTAAAACTGAATGTTATTGATAACGTTTGGTATTTTTCTTGGTCTTTGAACTTTCTTTGAACTTGGTCTTTGAACTTTGAATAATGTCTTTTAAAAAGTGACTTAAAATGTCATTTCATTGATTGTGAAGTTATAGGAAAAGTATAGCATTTTCAGATTTGATTTTTTAAATAGCATTTAAGCAGGAATAAAAATTGTCATGTATTTTTACTTTGATAACAACACATCATTCTAATATGGAATTCTGAATAAAAGCCCAATATAAATATTAAACAGAGTCTTTATATATTTTCTCATTTATTTCTATTCTGTAGATTTGGGATTTGAGTTGAAGTTTGCAGATTACTTGAAGTTCAGTTCTACTTTTAGCTTGTAGTCTATAATAAACACACTGTTTTATCTTCAATGAATAAGTATATCAAGATAGGATTTTAAAATATATGAACATCTCCACATAGAATTGTTATAATGATCATCCCATAAGAGGGAAGTCTGTGATTTATTTCATAGCTTTTGATATTCCTTTGAAATTTCCTTAGTATTAGTCCATGCAAGTGTCCTAGAAAAACAAACTCTGTAAGAGAATTCTCTTCCTAAATTTCACAAATATTAATTACATTATACTAGGTGATTTGTAGTTAATCATCACAACAATCCTCTGAGGTAGACATTATTATCCTCATTTTAAAGATAAAAGAATTAAAGCCTGGCATGGTGGTGCAGGCCTATAGTCCCAGATACTCAGGAGATTGAGGCCAGGAGTTCAAGGCTGCAGTGTGCTATGATAGCCACTGTGCTCCAACTTAGCAATATAGTGAGACCCTGTCTCTCTCTCTCTCTCTTTTTTTAAGAGACCCTGTCTCTTAAGAAAAGAATTGAGGCTTGCAGGCTAAGTAACTTGTTTGAGTCTACAGACCAAAGTTGAATGGAAGTGTGTGTGATTCCAAGCCTGTGGTGTCACTTTTTGTTTTGTACTACTCAAGGCAGCTGCGGAAACCACCATCCTGTGTGATAAGCTACATTCTGTTGCCATACGGTAGTTTCCCATTTTAATAATCAATATGCTTTTTCTTTTAACAAACTGACTAAAATCTAGTAAGTTTTAGAAAAATGTATGATGATCCAGTAGAATCACGTTTTTACATTTATTTGTGATATAACTTGTAGTCTCAAAAAGTAACAGCTATTATTTATTTTTTTTAGGAGTCGATACAAAGTTGAAGTTCACTCTTGAGCCATCTTTAGGTCAAAATGGTTTTCAACAGGTAACTTTACTTTTGGTTTTGAAAATACTCTTCTTTAGGGTTACCAACAGGGGATGTGGAGATATATTCCTTTTTTGTGTGTGTATTTTTTTGAGATATATTCTTAAGATGTTAATATTAGCATATTCTTTGATAATATGTATGAAGATGAAGATGAAGATGAAAATGTATTTCAGATAAAATAACTTTTGAGCTACAAGTGGCCTGGGTTTATACTTGCAATGAAAAATTTTGTGCTTTCTATTAATGGTACAAATGTAAAAAAATTAAAAAAACCAAATGTCTATTATTCTGAACCCCTAATATGTGTTATAGTTTCTGAATCAGAGCTTCCCAACCACTTTGTATGTGCCACACATGGGTCTCAGGTGTGTTAAGGGTGTCTCAGGGGTGGGACTTGGGACAGGAATAGCCCCACACCAAACACTTCTGGCTGAAAGAAGCTTTAGTTTGTTATCCCCAGTGTGTGGTTCAAATCTTGTTATATACTCTATGGATGTCAAGATGGAAAAAGTTTGGAAAGTGCTCATCCAGGTCAATGTTATCACTTCCTTGATATTTCTTCTTTGTTCCTAGTGGTATGACGCGCTCAAGGCAGTTGCCAGACTATCCACAGGAATCCCAAAGGAATGGAGGAGAAAGGTAAGAGGATTCATAGGGCTAAAATACAAAAGGACCATCACTCTGTCCTCTTTTAAAGCCTCTGAAATGTAAAAAAGTATAGTCCAGATGTAGGAACTTAAAACCTGTCTTTTCATTATTCATTCATGTAATAAGTATTTATCGATTATCTGTTTCGTGCCAGGTGCTGTTCTGGGTGCTAGGGATACAGCAGTGGGAAAACAAACAAACTCAAAACAGACCAAAGTTTTTGTCCTCATGGAGCTTACTATGAATAAAATATAAAGTATGTCAGTTGGTGATGAAGGAAATAAAAGTGTCATGGATAAAAATAAAGCATAGAGGCCGGGCGCTGTGGCTCACGCCTGTAATCCTAGCTCTTGGGAGGCCGAGGCGGGTGGATTGCTCAAGGTCAGGAGTTCAAAACCAGCCTGAGCAAGAGCGAGACCCCGTCTCTACTATAAATAGAAAGAAATTAATTGGCCAACTGATATATATATAAAAAATTAGCCGGGCATGGTGGCGCATGCCTGTAGTCCCAGCTACCTGGGAGGCTGAGGCAGTAGGATCGCTCGAGCCCAGGAGTTTGAGGTTGCTGTGAGCTAGGCTGACGCCACGGCACTCACTCTAGCCTGGACAACAAAGCGAGACTCTGTCTCAAAAAAAAAAAAATAAAAAAAATAAAGCATAGAAAGAAATGAGAGGAGGGTTTGGGAGCAAGGGGGTAAGTAGGTGGAATTTTAAATAGCAAGGTGACATTTGGGCAGGGCCCTGAAGGAGATGATGAGTCAGCTGTGCAGCTACCTGGGCGAAGACCCTCCAGACAGAGGGAAGAGCCAGTGCAAACACCCTCAGCCATTAGGCGGGAGAATCTTGGGACTATTCAAGTTGGGGCAAAGGGGGAAGCAATAGGAGAGAGGGTCATGAGGCGATGTGCGGGTTGGGGGCAGCAGAGCATGGAGGACCTGGGCGGCTACAGTAGGACTCAGGCTCTTGCTCAGTGTGAGATAGGAAGCACTGGGAAGTTTTGAGCAGAGAAGTGACGTGATCTGATTTGTATTCCAAGTGGGCCACTCTGGCTACTGGCTTTAGAACATGAGAGACAAAGGTAGAGCAGGGAGACCATGAGGAGACTTGCAGTAATTCAGGCAAGTCTTCTGCTGGTGAGGATGGGTCACGGTTGTGATAGTGGAGATAGAGAGAAGAGATCAAGATATAGATATATTTTGAAGGCTGAGCTGACATGAATTCCTATTGGATTGAATATAAGGTATATAAGAGGGTTGTCAAGGATGACTTCAGGATTTTGGCCTGAGTGGCGGGAGGGTGGAGTTACTGTTTACTTAGGTGGGAGAAGCAGGTTTGTGTGTCTGTCTGTCTAGTTGGTGAGGTGGTGGGTTAAGTGATAGGTTTCGGATCTGTTAAGGTTGAGATGCCTATTAGCAATCTAAGTTGAGAGTGTCAAGTGGGTGTTTGGACATATGATTCTGGTGCTTGGGAGAGAAGTTTGACTAGAGATATTAAGCAATGTTATTTCCGCTAAATTATGTCCAAATACCAAAAGTTGAAATGTGCTCTTAGGTTATTAATTTATAAATTTATTAATTTATATGCCTAGAATTTGAACATTGAGGGTTCCTCAAAGTGTACACTAAAAATGGCATTATGAAACACATCTTTTGGAAACAGATTTTCTGGATAAGATAATAAAAGAAGTAAAAATACTCAGTGACTCTTTTTTAAAAGTTATTCATTATGGGAGACCATCTGTCAGTTTTGTGTGTGTGTGTGAGAGAGACAGAGAGAGAGAGACAGACAGACAGACAAACAGAGGGAGGGAGGGATAACTTAAAGGTGGAGGCCACTCCATGGTGAAAAAAGGCCCATTAACCATGAATGACCATGTGGCTCTTGCCCTAGTGTAGAGAGCAATTTGGAGTCATGTAAAACAAGCTTATAAGATTATACAGCTAAGTCAATGAACTGAAATAAAAATTGGAAATATTTTTGGTTTATTTTCTTAACAATATTCCTAATGCCTTGATTGTTGCTTGACACATAGTAGGAACACAACGAATATTTACTGAGACAGTGATATGAAAGGACCTACATGAGGACCATGTAATTCAGTATAGCAAAAAATTCAGTGAGGCTCTTGTAGATTTCAACTTATGAGCTAGATCTGGTCTAGGAACAATTCTCATTTTCCTGTTGGATGCAATAACTATTTTCTAATAATGGTGAAATTACGTATTCTACTTTAGCATTCTTCTTTATTTATGTAATATTTTAGGTTTGGTTGACCTTGGCTGATCATTATTTGCACAGTATAGCCATTGACTGGGACAAAACTATGCGCTTCACTTTCAATGAGAGAAGTAATCCTGATGATGACTCGATGGGAATTCAGATAGTCAAGGTAATGCCCCTGAGCGTGGCCTGTCATCCTCAACCTAGAAGAAAGACCCTAAGAGCCACATGTTTTTTGGACAGAGGATCAACGATCTCTACTTTATGGTCCAAATACCTGTGTATTTTATGCATTGTCATTTCATTAGTTAATAGTTTTTTTTTATGGGGAACCTTGACTCTTCATAAATTTAAATGTTGCCAGTAAGAAGAAAATGTTAATGAGCTTCCATTCATATTCATTTTTTTTTTTGCCTTCCTCACAGGATAGGAGATTGAAATTCCTTTTTTTCTTTCTTTAGCATGGGTCAGTGCTGCCAACTGGATTTTTACATAAAAGTCACTGATTGAAAAATTTAAAGTTAAGTATATTTCCTATTAGAATCATTTGGCTCTTATTAGGGTCTTTGATGGTTTCTTAACTGTCAGTTTATAAAGATAGTTATGCTGACTGATGGGTCTGCTTTAAACCAAATGGTTGAGGAATCAAGCCAGCTGTGCAGGTAGCTGTGGTTTGCCCACGGGATTATTACAGTTGATTAGAGCCTGGTGCTAGAAGCCAAGGATGCTGATTCCATTTGATCCCAGTATTATCTTCTTACATAAGGCTCTAGCACATGTTTTTTTATTTTATATGGGTACATTACAGTGTGATGCTAAGCTGGGGTTTTAAAAGGAAAGTTGTTTCATCTAAATTTTGGCCACCACAAGATGGCTAATGTTTTGGCATATTTGAAGATACTTTTTTAGGAAGGAAGTACTAACTAAAATGAGCTACTTTCTGATCTAACTTGGTCTGTTTCAGATAAATGCTAAAAAAAAATTAGGGAATTTTACATTGCATACTAAAAAGCATTGCATTATCCACACTTCAGCTGTTTATTTGAAATTTCAGAATATGTTTCACAAATGAAATATCTCATATTTGAAATATTTTCTTTCTGTTTAACTTGTGAATGAATGCAATGCACATTTGGTAACAATCATGTTATTAAGAGGATCTTTTATTTTCTTACTGAAGTGAATGATATGTCAGTAAAATGACTTCAGCTCCTGAAAATTGTAGTCTCTGCATGGTAATTAAATTGTAGATATTGCCCTCATTAAATACTAAAGCACAGCAAATGTTTCTGTCCTTCTTACACAAATTCATGAAATAATTTGGATAAAATGATTTTTTTGTCTTTCTATAGCACAGATTGCATATTTTGCTGTTTTGGTTTTATTCCTTAATATTATTTAGAGTTTTATAGCTAAATATACCATTTTTTTGTGTGTGAAAGGAATAATGTTAACATCAATACATGTGTTGAGATGACTGTCGTATCTAAGGAATATTATAAAAACTGTCACTCTGTATGAAATTATGTGATTTTTACTGATTCTGAGTCAGTTTTTATGTCAGTTCTGGAAACACTTTAAGTAGAAAATTTGCCTACCTGGAATTCCCCTTGCAAATCGCTCTTAGCATATTAGAAAACATTAGGAACAAGAAAACTAAAAAAGTGCATTGACTCATGTATATAAGGTGCATATACATTTTTAAAAAGTAAAATCCATGTTGATAATATGACTCTATTGTGAGGCAAAAAAAAAAATAACTAAAGGTATTTTTTTGGTAGAGAGTATTAAGAGTTTTTTTTGTTTTTTTTTTCTTAAATATTGTTTCCCTTCCATTTTAGGACCTTCACCGCACAGGCTGTAGTTCCTACTGTGGCCAGGAGGCTGAGCAGGACAGGGTGGTGTTGAAGAGGGTGCTGCTGGCCTATGCCCGATGGAACAAAAACGTCGGGTACTGTCAGGGCTTTAACATATTGGCGGCACTAATTCTGGAAGTGATGGAAGGCAATGAAGGGGATGCCCTGAAAGTGAGTATCAGGCTTGACAAAGGCAACTGACGTTCTCCTGAGAGTGAGAAATTGGAACTATAATTCCTCTTCCTTGATGCCTCACCCTGTTCCATGGTGTTTGCCACACCTTTTTAATGACCTCTGATAGTATTTCCCCCAGGTTAGAGCTGTGTTGAGTGACAGACTAATGTAGCTGCCAGTGGTGAAGAGAATGATTGTGTGTTTAGTGTTCTTTATAAGACATCATATTTTTAAAACAAGTTAAATATTAATTGTATTAATCATCCATTGCTGGGTAACAAATTAGGTGCTTAAAACAGCAAACATGTATTACCTTCACAGGTAATTACCTTTCACGGTTTCTTTTTTTTTTTTTTTTTGAGACAGAGTCTCACTGTGTTGCCCAGGCTAGAGTGAGTGCCGTGGTGTCAGCCTAGCTCACAGCAACCTCAAACTCCTGGGCTCAAGCGATCCTGGTGCCTCAGCCTCCCGAGTAGCTGGGACTACAGGCATGCGCCACCATACCCGGCTAATTTTTTCTATATATATTAGTTGGCCAAATAATTTCTTTCTATTTACAGTAGAGATGGGGTCTCGCTCTTGCTGAGGCTGGTTTGGAACTCTGACCTCGAGCAATCCGCCTGCCTTGGCCTCCCAGAGTGCTAGGATTACAGGCGTGAGCCACCACGCCCGGCCACCTTCACAGTTTCTTTCAGTCAGAAATCTAGAAGTGGCCTGGTTGGCTTAAGGTCACATCCCTGAGGCATCCAAACTCCTGGCTAGGATCGTGGTCTCATCTGAAGGCTCAATTGGTGGGGGAAGCATTTGCTTCCAAGTTTGTTCACGTGGTTGTTGGCAAGATTTAATTCCTCCCAGGCTGTTGGACTGATGGACTCGGTTCCTTTCTGGCTGTTGACTGGAGGCCTCTTTTAATTTCTTGCAATGTGGGTCTCTTCATCTCACAACTTGGTGGCTGGCATCCCTCTCCGAGCAAGAGAGTGAAAGAGAGCAAGCAAAGCAGAAGATTTTAAGTTACAGATTTGTAGCCGAATGTCAGAAGTGACATCCCATCATTTCTCCTCATTTGTTAGAAGCCAGCCAACAGGTCCAGCTCATAGCTAAGAGGAAGGGTTTATACAAAAATGTGACTACCAGGGAGTAGGTATCGTGTTAGAAGCTGCCTACCACACCAGTTATGCTTAATTCTGATTGAGTTGTCTTACTAGGTTGCTTTACTCTTACATATTTGGAGCAAGGTAAGGAGGAGTTGGACCGAGAGTGAGTGTCCGTGGGAGGTGTTTGCGTGGAGAGATGTTTCGGAACTGAATTATATTATTATCTGTTAATCTTTGAAGCCTAGGACTTTTATTAGTTAAAAAAAAATGCTGGAAACACTTTGAGATGGGACATAGCAATTTAAGCTCGTCGGTCTGAATGTAAGTCAGCGAGTCACCAGGAATAGTCTGCATGAGAAATGAATCATTTTAAACGTGGAGGTTGGCCGGTGCTGTCTTTGCTGAGGGCAATGTGGGGTTGCTGATTCATATTTGAACCTTTAAACCACTGTTGATTGCAATGCTTTGTGATGTATGAGACGGATACTTAATCTTTGTATTCAAGACCCCTCCCCTCTGTTTTTGGCTGTGGTGAATACCTTGTTGATATTCTCAACCACTGAGTAATGTATTAAGGAAAGACAAACAAATGTCCCTCTTGGTTTTATCAGCCGATGGTAGACTTAATTATAAATCCAGCCTGCAATGATGCAAATCAATATTCACCCTCTCACTTTTTCCATTCGTGTATTTAAGGAAACAGCTTTGATGATACTTGTTCATCAAATAGGCAGGGGCAGAAGAGGAGGGAGGTAGTGACAAATAGATGATATTAAGATATTTTTTTATTAAGAAGCAATTTTGCTTACTCAGTCCATGAGTTTTTTTTTTTTTTTTTTTTTTGTATGACTGTAAAATGGGAATTGTTCTGTTAAACAGTCAGAATAAGCGGTTCGGGTTTAGGGAGTGGGATGGGGAAGTTTGAGGAAGGGAATGTACACACCAATCAGATCACGAAAGGGCTCAGTGATACTTGAGAAACTAAAAACTCACATAAAAAGATGGATTAGGTAAAGCTGAGAAACTGAATGTTTATATTTCTGGCCCCAAGATAATGAGCTCCATGCAATGAGATGACATTGCCATCATTTAGGAATGTGTGGATCTTGTGATTAGACATTTAATATGCAGAAGAAACACTTTGAATGCTGAGAAAAATATTGAGTGTCAGTGTTTTTTTTCAGCAGCTGTTTTGGCCTCTGCAAGTTGTAATTGCTGGGAAAATATATAGTTTATTAGAAATAGGTTAAACATTTTTCCTGCTTGTTAACACTTCTTATTTTTTCTTAGTAACTGTTTTATCTTTAACTATTGGTTAAATATTCAAAGTTCTTCCATTATTTAGCCTAGTCTTTTTTTTAGGATCTAATATTTGGCCTTTGAAATACAGTTGTGGGTGGAGTAAGTGAAAGGCTCTATGTCTTCATGTCAGACTTTGAGATGCCTTTAGATAGAGAATTTCATTATGTCACAAGCATTACTATGATAATTGAGGAAATATTTTTTGTATTTCTTGTTTTCATGTAATTAGAGGGATCATCATTTCTTAGTAAAAATTAAGTATTGGCCAGGCACCGTGGCTCACACCTGTAATCCCAGCACTTTGGGAGGCCAAGATGGGAGGATTGCCTGAAGCCAGGAGTTCAAGACCATCCTGAGCAACATAACAAGACTCCATCTCTACAATAGAAATTAAAAAGTTAGCCAGGTGTGGTGGCATGTCCCTACAGTACCAGCTACTCAGGAGGCTCGCTAAGGTGGTGGGGGGATCGCTTGAGCCCAGGAGTTCGAGGCTGCACTGAGCTATGATGATGCTACTGCACTCCAGCCTGGTAGACAGAGCGAGATCCTGTCTCTAAATAAATAAAAGAAATGAAGTATCTTTCTTGGTACTACATATTTTATCCTTCAATGAAAAGCATAGTAATTGACAGCTTAGTATCTTGAAATTTGCCTTCATGATCCTGTAAATCCCTTTTCAGATCTGTAGAGGGCTAGGTCCGTGCCAGGGCACCCTACCCTGCTAGGAGTCTGCCCTTCCCCTCAGCTGCCGCCTGCCAGAACCTCCTCTTTCCACTCATACCAAATATATGCCTTTTCTTGTGACTGAGCTCCTGTTTCCAAGGTGACGATAAATTTTATCCTAACCTAAGGCTAGGGCTCTCTGGGCCTGGCCACCCTGTAACAAAGGGTAGGGGCCTTCTCAAGAGAATGTCCCCACCCTTAATGACTCATACAAAACCAGGATCCTGGAAAGTAGAAATCATAAGCCGGGGATGAGGGCAAAATGGGCCCTTGGCAGAGTGGGAGATTTCTTTTGGGGGAAATAGTTTTGCAGTATCCTGAAAATGAAAATGTGAAATTGCTACTTCTCTCCCAACAAAGAGGCAGCTATGTGTACAGAGGCAGCCATGATCTTGTTCTTATTTGTGTTTTTCTGGTGCTTTGGGGAATGTCCTGGCCTCTTAGGGAGTGGGGCACATACAGAATATGCAAGCTGATGGGGGAGGGACCAGGAGCTGATGTACAGAACACGTGTGCATGTTGCTGGGTCATTCTAGTGATTCTTGATGTTTTAGGAAAGACAATACAAATAGAAAAATAAAAATAGTAATTTGAAGAACTTGTATAACAATCTTATGAAAGAAATACAGATTTTAAAAAGTACCATTTGTTCAAACATTAATTGCCTTCTCCCAGGAGAGGAAAGTGGACAGAAAGCCAACATCAGTTGCTCTAATAGCCCAGGTTGATAGTAAGTGAATCTTGAGGCCCGCCTCAGTGGGGATGATTTAGGATAGGCCAGCTCTTGGTTTTCGTATCGAGGTTGTAAAACTGTGCTGACGACATTGAGCCAATATTGAGCTTCCTGCCGGCTTCTGCCGAAGCTTGTGCTTTGTCATTTCTCAGAATGAGGCTGAGGTTGTATAATCATAGCTACTTACGGGGTGAACTCAGGTCTAGTGGCCTATCTAGAAATTTCAGATAGCAGCGGACTTGGGGTCTGAGTTATGCCTCCTGCTCCTTACCCAGAGGGTAGGTGAGCCTTGAAAATCTGGAACATTTGGTACTGATACGTTTAAAGGATAGTGTGCTCTGGCTAACTGCATTTTATCTGAATGTATTATTTCTATTTGGGACATGTCAGGATCCTTGTTTTTACAAAGGAGTCTTGTTCTTTATCTTTTTCTTCAGATTATGATTTACCTTATTGATAAAGTACTTCCTGAAAGCTATTTTGTCAATAATCTCCGGGCATTGTCTGTGGATATGGCTGTCTTCAGAGACCTCTTGAGAATGAAGCTCCCTGAATTATCTCAGCACCTGGATACTCTTCAGAGAACTGCAAACAAAGAGAGTGGAGGTAGTGATGATTCAATGCTATTTATTATACCTTTGAAACGTTTGACTTCTCTGATTCCATGGTACATATGAGCCTGAACCTCAAGTGGAAATAAATGTTTCCAAGTATTTCTGTTGGTAGGAGTTTGGTTCAGTGAGAGTGTTAAATTTCGAGAGAGAACAAAACCCAAACTGAAAAAACATAGGGTGAACCTGCGGCCTTGGGGCCACACTTGACCTTCTGTATCCTTGAGTGCGGCCTTTTGACCGAATCCAAATTTTACAGAACAAATCCCTTTATTAAAAGGATTTGTTCTGTAAAGTTTGGATTTGGCCAAGGGGCCATACTTGGGGACTTGCAGAGCCACATGTGGCCCCAAGGCTGCAGGTTCCCCACATGTGGCACTCTAGATGGAGAATGGTGTACGTGTCTTACCACCTAAACTACCCTAAGCTGGCACCAAACCTGTAGGTGTTTAAAACTGAGCTTCAGGTACAATTTAGCACAGCTGTGGTTTTGCCTGAACCATTGAGGTTATGGGATAGAAGCTCTGAGAGTTGCTGCTGTCTAGTGGGCTTCGTCAAGCTTTTGGAAGTACCTGAGCTAGTAACTGTAATTATATCCACTGTTTGCATTTTCCTGGCTGTGCTCAGAATACCAGAAAGAATATTAGTCAGGAGTTTGTTGTTTTTTCCGGTAAATGGTGGTCAGTTTCTTGTAGCCCGTGCATTTGCAGTCTAGCCTGACCCACAAATTTAAATCTTAGGGAAAATATTAAAGGATTTTGAAGATCTGGTCTGTGATTAAAATATACTGGAAATTTTAGCGATACCTTGAGTGTCTCTAAGCATTTCCTTCTAAGCTATTTGAATAATATAATTTAATTTGTACAGTATAACTGTGCACCTATGTGGATTTTATAAAGGCTTTCAGATAGACCAACCTTGCTTGTCCCATAGTAAGACACGCTTTATTGAGCTCCATGTTTTTACCCAAGTGCCTTGCACTTGGCTGTGAGGAACAACTTCAGATTCTAGTCTTTGAACTCCCTTTGTTCATAGGTAAGGGAGAAAAAAATGAATGCAGGAAAACAGATCTTTTTTGCTAACACTTAGGTAATTGTACCTACTGACTGTAATTTGAAGTCAGTTTAAATATCTAAATTTTTATATTTCATTAAAATGCATACTTATGTTATCACAGGAAGTGGGAGGGAGTGCTGTGTTTTCAGATAATTCAGAAATGTCAAAATGGGCTGGATGCCAGATCTTTAAAACCATGTATAATTTAGTTCAAAATATTTTTTTTAAATTTAATGTTTAATCTCTAAATATTTTGGGATTTTCCAGCTATCTTTCTGTTAGTGATTTGTAGTTTAATTCCATTATGGTCTGATAACTATTATAGTTTAAGAAGTAGATAGATAATTTATAATAAGCAATTTTATTCTTAGCAGCATTTGAATAAAAGTAGACTTTATAAAATTTTAAAAATCGGATGGCTTTTATTTTTGAGAGGCTACACATTTTTTTATTCTTTTATTTTTAAATTTTTTTAATGTTTTATTTGAAGCCAGTTAGCTAAATTGTTCTCTCATATTCAATTTTACAAATAAATTAGAAAATTTTTTTTTCTTTTTATTCTGTTTTTGGTGAGGAAAACTTGCTCCTTAATTTTCAGAACCCTATAATAGGTAGAGCCAAAGTAAGTTTTAGGATAAGATTTCTGAAGTTTTGTAAAGAATTTGTGAAGTTCATATTATTGAGATTTTTATTAAATACACCTATGCTCTTTTAGAAACATGGAAGCAAAACTAGGAGGAATGAATGAGAATTTAAAGATATGAAGAAATCAGTCAGGAAATATATGTGGGTGGATGTGGAAGACTAAAAGAGGGTATTCGTGTATCTTGCATTTCAGAATTTAGTGTGTTTGTTTTATTTCAGGTGGATATGAGCCCCCACTTACGAATGTCTTCACGATGCAATGGTTTCTGACTCTCTTTGCCACGTGCCTCCCTAATCATACAGTCTTAAAGATCTGGGATTCGGTCTTCTTTGAAGGTTCAGAAATCATCCTAAGGGTGTCGCTGGCTATCTGGGCAAAGTTGGGAGAGTAAGTGATTTTCCCCCTTCCGCTCTGTTGTGTGGTGCCGGGGCCTTAAGCAATTTTCATGCTCTCCTGTGTAAAGCATCGATGTGTAAGTGTGAGGAGAAAGTTGTGAATGTTTTCAATTGGTTCAGCCTCCTGAAATCTCAGCTGGCGTATTCTTGGCAGATGGACTTTATTTGAGGGAAAGGAGCAGGCTTTCTCAGGCCTGAGTTTCTCCCTCTCCCTCTCAGTGCTTGTGGCCTGGCTGTTTCGCTCTTAATCAGCATCTCTCTGGACACTAATTGGGAAGAGGGAGAGGAGCCGAGATGGAGGAGAAACTGGAAGATCTGGAGAGGAGCAGGTCGATTTGTTGGTTAAGATCACAGTTTAGATTATCTGTGAACCTTTATTTTGTTCTGCCTTTCAGGGCTGTGATAAAATTAAATGAGAAAACATATAAAGGTATCTAGCAGGGTGCTTGGTGCATAGTCAATAGTAGAACACATGGAACTTCTTTCCTTTCATCAAGAATTAATTGTGGCTGGTTGCGGTGGCTCATGTCTGTCATCCCAGCTACATGGGAGGGTGAGGTAGGAAGATCGCTTGGGCCTAGGACTTTGAGGCTGCAATGAGCTATGAGTGTGCCACTGCACTCCAGCCTGGGAGACAGAGTGAGACCCTGTCTATTAGAAAACAAAAACCAAACTTAATTCTATGTTGAAATCTATTACTACCAAAACACGTTGCCAAATACATTGTTCTTAACCTTCTTTGCTAGTAGCAGGGCTGAAAAAGATAGGGTATTTTCCCTCATCTCTGATATATTATGACTATTACATTAAAATTATACCTTTTGAGTAATGGAAGAAGCATTAGGATGAAACTGTTACTGTTAAAGAGCAGGGAAGTTTTTAATGTGTCTTTCCTAGAGCTATAAATGACTTGAGTGGGTACCCATAGACAACATGTCAGGAAGCTAATAAATCACTAGCAGTGTTTTCTTTCTAAAACCTTTTAACTATCCTTTTTATTTATAAGTTGTTTCCTGGGAGATTTTAGCATTTTTAACTTTTTTTGCAAAGAAAGATCTAGCAACTATCAATTCGGGGATTTAAAAAAATCATTATTGTGTATATTTTTAAACATCACATAGCTGTGATGAGGAAAACTTTGCCTTTGTTTTATTGTACATTGCTTTTCAGCTAGACAAATAAATTAATCTCTATGGGATTTGGTGTGCTATTTACTTATCTTTCCTTTTTTTTGAGACAGTCTCACTCTGTTGCCCAGGCTAGAGTGCCATGGCATCAGCCTAGCTCACAGCAACCTCAAACTCCTGGGCTCAAGTGATCCTCCTGCCTCAACCTCCCCAGTAGCTGGTTCGACAGGCATGCGCCACCATGTCTAGGTAGTTTTTTCTATTTTTTTTATAGAGATGAGGTGTTGCTCTTGCTCAGGCTGGTCTCAAACTCCTGAGCTCAAGCGATTCTCCAGCTTTGGCCTCCCAGAGTGCTAGGATTACAGGTGTGAGCTGCCATGCCCAGCCTACTTATCTTCCATTTTCTCCCAATAACTATCTTTTTCTGCAGCCATCTATTTCCACCCTTCTCTGTACCTTATAAAGCTTTTTGAGCTTTGATAGCTTTTCTGGGTGTGACAGTCCAGTTGCTGTGTAACTAGTTTGCAAGGTTAAGGTAGTAATGCACTTTACTATGTGATGAGTCACTTATCGTTGCCTTTGTGTTCGTTCTTAATGGAAAGAGGCCAGGAGGAAAAGAGGTGATTTTGGTTTTATTCCCATCTGTCTATTCTCTGTAGGATGAGAATTTATTCCTGTGATCATTCCAGGGATGTCATGCTGTTGAAATAATAATAGCTGTGAATAATATGAATCTACTAATAATAAATGGCTACTGTTTATGAAGTTCAGGGGATATATGAATCAGACTAATATATGAATTTTAAATGTTTCAGTTGTTGCTTATTATAATTCTACATCTTTTGAGCATGAAACTTGTTGAAGGAAAGGAAAGGCAACCAATATACATCACGAAGTGCCTACCATGCCTGCCATTACAGTAGGCAGATTTAAACACATTATCTCATTCAGTTCTCCCAATAGCCCTGTGATGTAGGTAGGATTATTCTGCCTATCTTTTCCAGTAAGAAAACTATCCCAAGAAGGTGTGATTCACTGTCACACAGCCAATGAGAAACAGAACTTGGGACTTAAAACTAGATCTTCCTGACTCTAGTGCCTGTAATCATCCCCACATTGGAAAAACCATGAACAGCATATAGGTGAATCTTCAGTTTATGTATACCTGAGTAACACAGGTGCCTCATGTATGGTTATCCGTGGGACCGCTCCCTTCACCTTGCTTCTGCAACTTGGAATTTCTACCTTTCACTCACCCAAAGAGTTCTTCTGGGATATGTGTGTTACAGACCATAAGCTCATGAAGCTAGCATCTCCTTTGGTGTCCTTTTTTTTTTCTCTGACCCTATTGTTTTGGCTCACTCCCTCATTACCTTGCGACTGGCTAATTAGGGTGTGTTCTCTCTGGTCTCCCTGCTGTACCCCACATTGGCCATGCCACGCCACCTCCAGGCTGACCTTGCCAAGGGAACAGCTGTTCCCTCCCTATGAAGAGCCTGTCGGCAGCTCCTGTCCTTAAGAGGCTCAGCTGGCAGGTGAGGCCTTCGCCATCTGCCCTCTGCAACTTTCTACCCGCAGCTGTCACCAGCTTTCTCTGGCCATCCAACCACTCCCCCCACACTGGTCGTGCAGAGCTGTTGCAGTTCCCGGATGGGGCCTGCTGTCTCTTGCATCCGTGTCTTTGGAATGCTTTTTCTTCCTTGCTAACCTGCCGAACATTTTCCAAAACTCTTCTCAAGCATTTTTTCTCTTTCTTACCTCCCAGGGTAAATTTAATCACCTTTTCATTTGTGCCCACATGCTCCTCTGTGTATTTATTTGTAATAATATTTCAGCAGTCTGTCTCATTTATTTATTTACATGATTGTGGCAATGAGATTAGAATAACACTCCATAGCCTAAGGTTTTTCTGTCACCATAGATGGAAAAATTATATTTTTGGATGGCTCTATGGAAATCCCCTAACTTTAGTGTATGTCAAAGAGTAAATGTTATGGCTGATGGGCAGATAGAGTTATTTTACTATACAGAGGACATTGTAATAGATAAAACAGAAATAGCCAGGGCTCTTTGCTTTGGACTATCCCTTCCCCAACCCCAGACTCCCCTTCTAGAAGAAAGATGAAGTCTAATGTGTCTCACAAGTTGCCAGGTATTAAGAGTCTTTACATGTAGAACTGAAAGCAAGAAACAGGGTGTAATCGTCACCCAGCAGCAATGCCCTGAGAATTCAGAAAGTTCTGCCTGTGACAACATACTGTTGACTGATGAAATATGCAGATAAAGTTCTTGTATTTTTTATCTTTTACTTTGTGTAGTTTCAGTCTATTAATGATACCAGTGTTTGCAGATTAAGCCCAACAGTTTCCCTACAGGGGAGGATTGTTCTACAGTACCCAGTTTTGTGGGTATGATTTCTCATCAGTGGTGGCTATTCTGACGTGTAGAATGTGTCACATGGAAACAATAAAGATGCCACAGGAAGGGCTTTGAGGCTGGGGGAGCCATGTGGGAAAGGCAGGACTCATCTGTAACAAGTACCTCTCAGTTGCCTTTGATATATTTTTCAAAACCTTTTCTCCACATACAGTGGGCTGTACTGTGCCTGTGTCTCAGGATTTTGATTTTTGTTGATTGATAACTTGATTAATTTGATGGCAAGAGGCAACACATCTTATACCTGTAGCACGTACCTGTTATACAGCATGAATGCTCTAAACAATTTTTCTATCCGTTCTTCTAGGCAGATAGAATGTTGTGAAACAGCAGATGAATTCTATAGCACCATGGGGCGCCTTACCCAGGAGATGCTAGAGAATGATCTTCTGCAAAGCCACGAGCTCATGCAGGTGAGTGGTTCTGGGATCCCCAGGTACCGTGGGAACAACCAGTGCTGAGCAGTGTTCTTGGGAAATGTGTTTGGATAGCCCTCAGACTCAGTTTTTCAAATTGACTAAGAGACTATTAATCGATTTTTCAAATCAACTAAGAGTCTATAATTTGATAAGAATCTATGTCATAAGAGGAAGGAAGAAACGAATGACAGATATTTGTGGTAGCTTTCATTCTGTTTGGCTTAAAAATCATGTATAAAATATGATCAATATAAAAATAAACTGGAAAACAACCCCCAAAATCACCAGGTGCTTTTTCTGAATCTTGTTCTTAGCCTTCTTAACGGGAGACCTGTGGGGTAAAGTAATTATTTTGGGGAAGGTATTATTGAGGATAAAAAAGAGATTATTGGCTGGGCGCGTTGGCTCATGCCTGTAATCCTAGCACTCTGGGAAGCTGAGGCAGGAGGAACACTCAAGGTCAGGAGTTCGAAACCAGCCTGAGCAAGAGCGACACCTCGTCTCTACTAAAAATAGAAAGAAATCAATTGGCCAACTAGAAATATATAGAAAAAATTAGCCAGGCATGGTGGCACATGGCTGTAGTCCCAGATACTCAGGAGGCTGAGGCAGAAGGATTGTTTGAGCCCAGGAGTTGAGGTTGCTGTGAGCTAGGCTGACGCCATGGCACTGTAGCCCAGGCAAAAAGTGAGACTGTGTCTCAAAAAACAAACAAACAAAAAAAAACAAAAAGAAAAAGATTTTTTGATCAGCATTTTGGTTTATTTGTTTTGCCCACATTTTGAACCAAGGTAATTCTATATTAATCATAAATTTCAATAGAGACTCAAAGGGTTTGGTTGTGTTTTGCCATGTGACTGTATCTCAGTATCATATTCATCAAGTTGTTAAAACTGACAGCGAACATAGAAAAGATGGCTGATTTATTAACACTCTCTTTTCCATTAGGTTCTATAACATAACTATATTCTCATTCTCCTCCAATGCTTTTGACTGCTTCTCTTCCTACTGCTTCCTCTTGCCAATGACTGACTGTGGGTCTTGTCCAAGGTTGTCGTTGGCCTTAGTTCCTTCTTTCTCTGTGATTTCTCTGTCCTTTTTCTTGATTTCAACTTTCACCTTTCCATTGGGTTCCATGCCTGAGGTCTTTTTTGGGTAATGGGGTCCAGTCACCTGACTACAAAACTAACACTCTGGCACTGATTTAGGACTTGAGAAGTGAGGCACTTCCATTCCCTTGCTCATTCCTGGACCACCGAGCTCCTTCTCAGAATCCCTTACTATCTGATGTATTGACCACCAGATACAACTTTCCTGAACATTCGTGTTTTCATTGCATTCTCATCTCTCCTCTCTTCCTTTCTGTCCATCTCAAAGGAGGATATGTTCTATCTGACTCCAACATCTGTGCTTTGATTCCAGCTCTTCTCTCAGATCTTGGGCTGTTGCCTCATTGCTCATTCTCTCTTGGAGGGAAGCACCTTTTGTTGAGTATCATTCTGTGTCCCGGGCCCATGCTTGGCATTTTCCATGTGTGACATCCTTTGTATGCTACAGAACTGCCGGATTCATATGCCCAAAGTGGGACTCTATGCTATCATCTCTTCCCCTCATGCATGAAACTTCAACTGCTACTCACTGCCCACAAAACAAAGCATAGACTTCTCAGCTTCTCATCCAGTATTTGACTATTTAGCATTAACCCATCTTTTCAGCCATAGTTCCTGTTCCTTGTGTACCCTTGCCCTGTGCTTGCAAGTCAGACTGTTTTTCATGCTAGAAGAAATGCCTGGGAATATGCCTCTGCCACACCTTTGTTCAGTTCTTCTCTCCACCTTCACATCTTTAAGTCCTTCTTCCTTTTGAAAGTTTCAATTCAGATGCCATCTCCTTCATGAAGCATTGTCTGATAGTCTCTGCTAAAACCATTTATTTCTTTGACTCACCATAGCACATTTCATTTGTACTTCTCTTCTGAGCTTTCATCATATCCTACCTTGATTTAAGATGTTATCTTATGTCCTTAGTCATCTTGTAGGTTCCTTGAGGACAGGGACTGCACTCAGCACTATGTCTTTTACTACAGTTGCTCAGTACATTTATTATTTCATTAATCAAACACTGATAATCCATGGTTGTCTTCTGTCTTTTCCAATGAATGTTTGCTGAATTAACACTTAGAGATGATGCCTCTCCTTCTAGATTCCCTGTGTTCTAACACAACCAGCATTTTGCTGCAGAGTAATTGTCCACACTTACTGCTTCAGTCATTTCATTCTTCTACACTAAAACCTTCAGTTCTTCCTTGCTACTAGCTACAGTAAATAAAATGCATCAGCCTCATTTTCTAGGCTCCATATGAACTTCTCCAAATATTTATCGAGCATCTCTAAATGTCAGGCACTGTGCCAGGAGATTGGATATGTAAGAGAAGAAAGCATGGGCTCTGTCCTCAGGGAGCTTACAGTCGCGTATAGTACGGTGTGGGGAGTGCACCAGGGGAGACATGCGCAAGGGCTGAGGAAGAAAGGGGACCTGATCCAACCTGGGTGCAGGGGTGGGAGAAAGGAAGTCAAGAAAGGCTTCCTTGAGGGGATTCATGTCTGGATTTACCTTTAACCACTTCAGTAGGAGCGTCGACTATAGTCTATAGCCACAGATGAATGCGACAGCGACTTTGGCCGACAGCCGTGATATGAACACACGGAGCAGAGTGTGGGCTTTAGCCGACAGCCGTGATATGACTTTTCTAATTTTTCATTTATCAAAATAAAATTGTGAACATTTAAAAATAACGTAATGAAAACATATGTGTATATGTTACCTATTCTGATTTACGTAACAAGGAAAGCTGCCTGTAAAGTAAAACATGCTTTCAGTGCTTTCAAGCTTTCCTCATCACACAAGAGCAGAACAGATTCGTGGGCAATGCACAGCACAGACTACCGTGCGGACTGTGAGTGCCGGCTGTGGGCAAGGTTTCGCGGCTGGTGAGCGCCGTGCTGAAGTGGTTAAAGATGAACAGGAGTGGGCTAGGCTGTGTGTGCACGAGCAGGCACACATTGTGTGTGTGTGTGTGTACATGCACATGCATGCACGTGTCGGAGGCAGTGGTGCAGAGCAGAGGGGCAGTCGTGGTTGAGGGAGCTGCAGCGCAGAGGTCTGGTGAGGAAACGCTGTAGGAATGTGAGGGAAGCAACAAGGAGTTTGGTGTTGGGGGACTAGGTTAGGGAAGGTCACAGCCCACAGGGAGGAGCTCAGGCTTGGCTGATCAGGTCAGTGGTTCTGAAATTCTGTTTGCTGGAGTTCCAGGGGTTCTGTGGACCCTTTGGAAAGGGAAAAAGGAAATGTGAACCCAGAAGACTTTAAGGAGAGAAGGAAAATGGTGGTTGAGTTTATATTGTTTGGTATTTTTTTAAAGTATGTTTATTATTTTTCTCTAAGGAAGTAGCAAATTCCTTAATGACAGGGGCTGCCTACTCTCTCCATAGCACCTGCCAAATGCTAAGAATACAACTGATTGCTCATGGATACACAGAATCGTAGAATATAAGACAACTATTTTGGTTATCCAGCTAATAATTCCTTTCTATTTTCAGTAGAGATGGGGTCTTGTTCTTGCTGAGGCTGGTCTCGAACTCCTGACCTCAAGCTATCCTCCTGCCTCAGCCTCCCAGAATGCTAGGATTACAGGTGTAAGCCACTGCACCTGTCCTAAAATCCTCTTTAGAAGTATAAGGCAACATCTCATATCACTTAAAGGTTTAAACATTGCCAGCAGGAGTGCGAGAGATGTTGGATACCATCTTTGTCCTCTAGGAGTTTCCCATCTTAGGTATTAGGAGAAAGAACCATTTCTTTACTCTGCTTTAAGAGAATTCTAGAGGGAGAGTTGATTGATGAGATTCCATTTTAGTAGCATTTCTCCTGTTGAGGAAAACATCAGCATGAAGATGAACTAAGCCTAAATTTTGTACAATTTATATTTTCAAAGTTCTTGTAAAGCATGTCAATAATGAAAAAGGAAATATAGTTCCTTTACAGCAGTGCCTAAGTATAAATGCCAATTTAAGTGTATGTTAGTAGTTCAGACAGTAAATCGACTTGGTTTTCCTTAACATTCTGTGATGTGAAATGGTGAATGTTATTTCAAGCCACTCTCTTTTCTGTATTCACTTAAAAAAAGAAAAAGTCAGCCGGGCGCGGTGGCTCACGCCTGTAATCCTAGCACTCTGAGAGGCTGAGGCGGGCGGATTGCTCGAGGTCAGGAGTTCGAAACCAGCCTGAGCAAGAGCAAGACCCCGTCTCTACTATAAATAGAAAGAAATTAATTGGCCAACTAATATATATAGAAAATTAGCCGGGCATGGTGGCGCGTGCCTGTAGTCCCAGTTACTCGGGAGGCTGAGGCAGGAGGATCGCTTGAGCCCAGGAGTTTGAGGTTGCTGCGAGCTAGGCTGATTCCATGGCACTCACTCTAGCCTGGTCAACAAGCGAGACTTTGTCTCAAAAAAAAAAAAAAAGAAAAAGTCAGTAGCTATACTCTGGCTGTCGTCGGCCATAAATCTGTCAGGGCACCCGAAATGGGTCCAGATGAAAATGTGGGCTGAATGGAAGGTCTTTATTTTTGAGCTGAAGTGATGAAACGATTCTCCCCTTTCTCATTTTTTCCAGTCCTAAGCGCCATACTCAAAATAGTGTGCCGTACATTCCCCCTTGTAGATCACGTTGCTCTTTCCTCATTAGCAATGGTCATCTGTATGTTTGGGTTTTTTTAAATCAATAGTGTTAAAGAAAATGGGAGAATACTGATAAAATAGTGCATCTGGATTTCAGCTGGACTTTTGACAGAGGCTCTCGTAAATTCCTTGAGGGCAATATAGAGAAAGGTTAGTTAGACATTGCTGTTAGAAGGCTTTGTAGATCCTTGGAACACTTAACCCAAAGTGCTAATGATTTATTGTTATCTGGAGGTAGCTCTCATGTACCATGAGGCAGGATCTCCCTTTGGACCTGTTCTGTTCACTTTTTTCCATCAGTGATGGAGTGGAAATTATAATACAAGGGTGCAGATGCTTGTTCAATGGAAGGATAATGTTTGCTTAATATTCTATCAAAAATTGAAACTGTCTGCCCTGAAATAAGTGTGTGCCTGTAACTGGAAGTGTTTAAGCAGCACCTCTGTGGCCATCTGTTGGAGATGCTTTAGAAGGGGATCCTGCTTGGGAGGGAGGTTGAACCAAATTATGTTTAAATTCCTTTCTAACCCTATGATTCTGTTATTATACCATCTTTAGGTTCTAAAATGATTAGTAAAATCTCTTTCTTGGAATCTGTTTAAGTCTCTGATTTATGAAGTTGGAGACCTAAAGGTTTTGGGGTACCCTGAGTGCTATGTGGGTGTACCAGGGATACTCAGGCCTCTGTGATCAGCATCACTTCTGACATGTGGGACCCTCAAGTAAGTGAGGGAATATTTGAGAAGAATTACTAGAAATAAGTTTGTTCCAGGACCATCGATTTCTTCTTTGGAGGACTAACTAAAAGTGAGAGAAAGGAAAACCTGAAATAGAAAGTGAAAGCTCAGTGGAGCCAGTTTTCTTTTTGGTCTAGCACATTTAGCCGAGTATCCCTGAAGGAGCTTGCTCAGAGCCCAGACTGTCTGCTGTGGGGCAGGAGCTGGATGGAGGGAAGGAGGTTGTACTTCCATTCCTTTCTTGTAAACTTCCTTCCCAAGGTTGAACAAGGGAATTTGCTGATGTCTTGTTATAAAACTGGCAAAAGATAAAACACAGGTGAATCTTCAGTGAGTCACCCCACTTAATGTCTTCAGTAAGACATCTTATGTCACTTGTAAGGAATTTTGAAATTCCTAGCATTAATAATCTCATCTTTTAAAGTTGAATCCAGATGATATGGGTTTCTTACATGTTTAAACCAAGTTTCTAAATCGTTAAGGAAACTTCACATGAGTGAGGGGCAGGTTGACTCTCAGCCCAGCTGTGGGATAGTGTTTGGGGTGTGGTGGTCAGATACAGTCAGGCCAGTGCTGTTCCTCCTGAGCCTGAAGAGAGGGGCCACACTCTAAATCTACAGTTAGGGCGCTAAGGAGAGGATTTCCACACCTCTTCCTTTCCTCGGAAGGGTATGTGGAGCTGAGACATTAGAGCAGGCGTCCTCAAACTACGGCCCGTGGGCCACGTGCGGGTGTTTTTGCCCGTTTGTTTTTTTACTTCAAAATAAGATATGTGCAGTGTGCATAGGAATTTGTTCATAGGTTTTTTAAACTATTGTCCGGCCCTCCAATGGTCTGAGGGACAGTGAACTGGCCCCTCTGTTTAAAAAATTTGAGGACCCCTGCATTAGAGCAAGGAGGAATTCTGCAATGGCAGTGAGGCAGCTGTTGGATACCTTTGTGGAATCAAAGAACACGAGCGTTCATTCTGACCACATTATAAATGAAATTATAGGAAGTACTTCAGGGATACAGACCATATTAAGAATAATTTAACAAAACCTACATATGTACCACCCAACTTAAGCAGTAAAAGTTGACAGCACAGGTGAATACTCTCATAGACTTCACCCTGCTCTTACTACCCTCTCTCCTCTCAGAGGTAACCTGAGTTTCACACCCTTCCTTTTGCAGATTTGGAAAAGGTTGGGGAGTGGTATAATCTCACACTTTAGGCTAATGGGAGCCACATTCTGCTTCTTTTCTGAGGGCACAGTTTACTGTTAGTAAATTTGTAGACTTCTCCATCTTTTGGGTATAATCAAGTATGTAGCATATGTGATAAGACAGCTCAGGATGTTTGTATTCCCTATAAGCTGTGTAGCTTTGCATAGTAAACATGGAGGATTGAACCTTGTTTGGAATCTTGGGCTATACTTTACTATACAGTAAAGTATAAACGAATACCATGAAGTTTGGGGACAGTCAGATGTGCAGGCTGTTAGAATCAGAATTATGGGGACCATAACAGTGGTGCACTGAGCTATAAAATGAAACAGCAGCACAATAAGCTCCTTTCAGAGCCTTCCCTTTTCTACATGCAAATATTAGACATCTCCTAAGCCTCCAGAAAAATAGTCCTGCTGAAATGAAAAGTACCACTTTAAAATATTTTTATAAACAAGCGTCATTAGGATATTTGATTGGTGTCCTGGGAGAATTGAAAGTGTGATTAATATACATTTTCTGGTAAATAAGAACCTGAAGGATTGAAGGAATGTGTTTGGAGCCATTAAATTTTGCTAATAAGAGAGAAAACAAGATTACTTCCCTCTTGCTGATAGAATGATATATAATTTTGAAATTCTGTTGGAAGTACAGGTGCTTTTCCCCATTTTTATTTATAGATTTTTAACAGCCTATGTTTAATACCCTGTCACTTTTTTTTTTTCTTGTGTATGTTTTTTTTCCCTTTAAAAATAACAGCTAACAATTTTCACCTAGAACCCGTTCACAGACATTTGAAAAGGTGGTATTTTTGGAGAAAATTTGCTGTTGATCACGAGATCATCCACTAGACTTAATTTTATCTAGAAGGCTGACATTAAACATCTATAAAAATAATCAAACAAAGGTTTGAATAATAGGCACTACATACGAAGAACATTTATGGGTGCTCTGTTACAGACGTGAGAAGGATCTGTGGACTTCTGAGTCAGCCTGTCTGTGAAACGACAGGAGGAAGTCAGACGCCTCCACATGCCCACCTGCGTTCCCCAGCTGGAATGCCCGGTGCAGCTGGGTTGATCTGAGAATGCACTGTTGGGTTTATCAGCATTCTTTTGTCTTTCTCTAAAGCAGATGTTGAAGTGGAATCTTTCCCACCTGCCACCTCCACACTCAACTTCTTAAAACTTTCATGTATTCCCAGTATTGGTAAGAGTTGTTTAAGGTTACTGTTTCAGACTTGGCATTTTCACTTTTGTTTTCCAGACTGTTTATTCTATGGCACCATTCCCTTTCCCACAATTGGCAGAGTTGAGGGAAAAATATACCTACAACATTACACCATTCCCAGCCACGGTTAAACCCACCTCAGTTTCTGGGTAAGGTTTTTTTTTTTTTCTTCTTTTTTCCTTTGTTGTTTTCATAATGGGAGACTTTAATACCTTAATTTGTTATTATAAATTAATATTTATGAAGCCCCTGAAATATGTTCAAAGTAATTTCATACTTAAAATCTGAATGTCTCTTTTCCAAAGGTTTTGATTTAAATTCAAGAGAGACTTTTGAGTATACTTTCCAAAGAAGTTTGGAGCATAAACTGAATGGATATTTAGCAACCCCATAACTTACTTAAAGATATCAAATATTAAAAATCTCAATAGTTAAAAGTGTGGAACTGGTGCACATATAGATAAATGGGCTGATTTAAAATATAGTAAAGACCAGAAATTGACAGGAAATATACAGGAATTTAGTATGAAAAATTACCATATCAAATCAGTAGTGAAAAGATATACCATTTAGTAAATGGTGATGAGCCAGTGAGATGAAGGAAAGAAGGAAGGAAGGGAGGGAGGGAGGGAGGGAGAGAGGGGGAGGGAGGGAGGGAAGAAGGAAAAGAATGAAAAGGGAGGAAGGAAGAAAAGAAAGGAAGAAAGGAAAAAAGAAAAGAGAAAGGGAAAAAGGAAGGAAAGAAGAAGAAAGATAGAAAGAATGAATGAATGAATTAAACCTCATCCCATATATCAGGATAAATTCCATATGGGTAAAAGTGTTAAATACAAAAAAATGGGCCCAGCATGATGGCTCACGCCTGTAATCCTAGCACTCTGGGAGGCCAAGGTGGGAGGATCACTTGAGCTCAGGAGTTTGAGACCAGCCTGAGTAAGACCAAGACCCTGTCCTTAATAAAAATAGAAAATTAGCTGGGTGTGGTGGCATGTGCCTGTAGTCCCAGCTACTTGTGAGGCTGAGGCAGGAGGATTGCTTGAGCCCAGGAGTTTGAGGTTGCTGTGAGCTAGGCTGACACCATTGCACTCTAGCTTGGGCAACAGAGTGAGACTATCTCAAAAAAAAAAGAAGAAAGAATGAAATAATAAAATTAGCAGAAGAAAATGTGGAAGAATTCCTTTAGTTCTTTGGAATTGGGAAGGCCTTAATAACTTGCTCAAAATAAAAAAAAAGTAAAGGAAAAAATTAAATCCAGATATCTTAAAAATAATTTTTTGTATGATCAAAACAGAATAAAACCAAACCTCCATAAGCAAACTTAAAAATACTTGTGGGAGAATATTTTTAATATACCATACAAAATAGAGATTGATATCTCTTATATATAAAATTACTAGAAATCAGTAAGAAAATGGTCACCCAGTTGAAAAATGAGTGAAATGATGGGAATGGGCAGTTTATGTAAAAGACAACATCATTGGTACTAACAGAAATGCTGCTTAAAACTAGAAATTGAGATTTGGTGTTTTTTACTTGTCTGATTGGCAAACATTCAAAAGCTTGATGATGCACTCTGTTGATAAGGCTATAAGGAAACAGACATTCTTATATATTGCTGGTGAGAGGTTAATTACTACAAGATTTGTGGCAGACCATTGGCAAACTTGCCAAAATTACTAATGCATAAATCATTTGACTCAGCAATTCAATCTTTATAAATTATCCTACAGGTATATTTGTAGACATGCAAAACACAGTACGTATAAGGTTATTGCAGTATTGTTTTAATAGTATAATGGAGAGCACTCAAGTGTGAACCATTAGGAGCCTGGTTCCATGACATGGGCTATGTACATATCATACCGCTGGAAGAAAGGATAAGAAAGCTCTATGTATGAATATGGAAAGGTTTCTTATACGAATAAAAGCAAGGTACAGAAGAGTATAGATAGTATGCCAGTATTTATGGAAAAAGAAGAAATAAAACTATATTGTTTATTTGCTTATCTATACATAGAGAAACTGAAGAATATGTTAGAAACTAGTAACTATGGTCACCTGTGGGAAGCAGGTGAGGCAAGAGCTGGGCAGAAGTTGGACAGAGATGGGAGGGAGACTTTTTGCAAAGTAATTATATATAGGTATGGCATTTAAGCCATGCAACTGTATTATTTTTTAAAATACCACTATTTTCTTTGAATATTTCTTTTTCTTTTTTTATGTTTTCCAAGACGACATGGTAAGATCAGAGACAGTGATGAAGAGAATGACCCAGATGATGAAGATGCTATTGTTAATGCAGTGGGGTGTCTTGGACCTTTCAGTGGGCTCCTGGCACCTGAACTGCAGAAGTACCAAAAGCAAATTAAAGGTAAAGATGTGGCTCTTCATTTAGGTTATCATGATGTGTTGGTTTACTGTGTAACAAAAGTATTGTTATTGTATCCTATAGATGCCTCAGCAATTTCCTGAACTCATCATCACTATTAAGAGTCTTTATAAAAATATCTTCTGTTACTTTATCATTTAATAGGATCTTTCTGTATTATATGTTGCATGCATAAATAGACATTTCTTTTTTCTGAAACAGGGTCTTGCTCTGTTGCCTAGGCTGGAGTGCAATGAGTGGCCCAATGATAGCTCACTGTAACCTCCAACTACTGGGCTCGAGCAATCCTGCTGCTTCAGCCTCCCCAACAGCCTGTGGTATAGGTACACACCACCACACCCAGCTGATTAAAAAAAAATTGTAGAGATGGGATTTTGCTATTTTGCCCAGGCTGGTGTTGAAACTCCTGGGCTCAAGTGATCCTCCTGCCTTGGCCTCCCAAAGTGCTGGGATTACAGGCATGGGCCACCACACCCAGCCATTTTTTCTGTACAGTGACTTTTGCTTCCCATTCATCTGATTCAACTTTATATGCTCAGCTCAGTTCCTTAGCATAGAGCCTGGCATATAGTAGATGCTTACAATGTTCTGAGTTTAATCGAATTAATTCCAGACTGGCTTCTCTTCTAATAGAATTACCCTTTAAATCCAAAACATTATGGTAGCTTGTACTTGAATTTCTTGAGTGACAAGAAACTCATTATTTCATAAGATACTTTGCTAGATTCTAGATTTTAGTTGCAAAAAGATAACTTCCACCAACCAGTTCTAATAGTTCTTCCCTTTGGAACAAACCAGAACAAGTCTATTCCCTCTTCTATCTGTCAGCTCTTCAAATCTTTCAGGATAACTATCATATCTCCCAAAGCTTACTTGATGGCCCAAATTCAGAACTTCTCTAAGCATTTTTTCTTAAGATATGACTTCTAGACCTTTGAATATTCTCCAGATACCCTATCATTTGTTAATATTTGTTAATATTCCTCTTAAAAATGTGCTCTAAATCAAATAATCAAATGCCATTTTTTATGGTTTTTTTTTTCCAGCATAGAATAGACTTCCTGTGGTCAAGACGTTATCAATACTATGAGCTCTTTTGTAACAGTCTGTGGTTCTCCCACTATGTCCTTTCCTACCTTTGGTGGCAGCTCTTCCTTTATTCTACCTCTTCTAGTTTAAAACTGATGTGGGAACCAGCTAAAAAAAAGGTGAGAGATTCCAGCTATCCTAACATCTGATGAGAGTGTTATTCTCATCACTGTCATTCTCCTTGTTCAAAGAGGATGGAAACTTACTGAAAGAGGACGGGGACAGAGTAAACGTGAGGCCCTTCTGCGTTCTGTTTGCCATCTGCTAACTTTGTAGTGCCTTCTTCAAATTGGGGGGCTGTCAGGTTTTTTGTTGTTGTTCTTGTGTAGAAGGTGCCAGTGGTGAAAGCTGCTGCGTTTGTTTTTTTTTTTTTTTTTTGATTGTGATTGTTTTGAGTATTTTCTCCAAGTCTCAGCTTGTTTTGAGTTTTAACCTACTTAATGGCTGGGTTCACACTGCTTTGTGTGTATGTCCTTGGTATGTGCTCTTCTCTCATCTTTTAAAATGGCTTTTAAAAATCTGAACCCAGTGAGGGTCTTCTTAATTTCTGAATTGCCCTCCGCCACCTTTCTTGTTGCCTGGATTTCAGCTTTTCCCTTCCAGCCATGGGGAGTCAATATGTATTTTAATGCTGAAGTTTTTGAATCTGCATTCCTGTAGTCTGGGTATATGTTCCAGCTTTTCCTCTATTTTTCCTCTCTGTGCAGTTATGTGCTCTAGAATGAAATGATCACTGTCTCCTAAATTTCATCATCATTAGTCTTTTTTGTTGATTTTGTTCCGATTAGCAGTTTCCCTTCTAATTTTCTTCTCCTCAGAGAAGTGATTTCAGTAAAAAAAAAAAAAAATGAAGTACATTTATGAGATGTTCAGCATTTGAATAACATGCTCATGAGATGTTAGGATAGTTGGAATCTCTCAATCTTTTTTTAGCTGGTTCCCACATCAGTTTTAAATATTGTGCTAGCCCAGTCTGGTTCTCTACCCCTTTGGCCAAGCACCAGACAAATTCTTGTGTACGTTTTCTTTTGTACTTTAGAATTTCATGGGGGTTGAGATACTACACTAGGTTGTAGTGTAATCAGTTCCCATTTAATCCTGTTCCCTTCCACCAATCATCTGCCTGTGTCTCTTCCCTGGGGTGCAGAGCCAAATGAGGAGCAGAGCCTGAGATCTAATAACATTGCAGAGCTGAGCCCAGGAGCAATCAATTCCTGTCGGAGCGAATACCACGCAGCTTTTAACAGCATGATGATGGAACGCATGACCACAGATATCAATGCACTGAAGCGGCAGTACTCTCGAATTAAAAAGAAGCAACAGCAGCAGGTTCATCAGGTGTACATCAGGGCAGGTAATGTGATTCTTTGTTTGAATCAATTTCAACTCTATCACAACTCGTGAAATGAAGAACAAGTGATCCTAGAGGGCCTTGGAGTTACTAACTGAAGTTCAGCATCCATAAACACAGCTGGCATGAGATAATAACATATTTAGCATCTCATTTTTATTTTATTTTATCAGGCTCTAAAGAAGAAAAAGAGCAGGCAGCTGATGGTATTAAACACTTCTCTACTACGTGTGCTTGTGGAGAGGGATTTACAAATGATTAGAATCTTGCAAAGCCATGCAATCCTTGGACTTGAGAAATTTTGGAGCTGTTGCCTCATAAATTTTATGCCTTTGAAAATAGAATTTAGTCATTTGTGCACTAGTAAATTAAGCTACACACAGTCATTTAGGTAGTGTTATAACAGATGTTGTGATCAGAGCAAATGGAAAACAACATTAAAAAGCCTTTGCCTTGCTGATGGGTTAGCAATATCTTGGGAGTGTACTATGAAGAACACAATTATAATGCAATTGGAAATGCTCTTTTCCAAGGATTGTCAGGCTTCTTTATTTTTTAATTCCAAAAATCGGCGTGAACAATCTGCTTTATTATTTAATATATGCTGATTTGGGAGTTGTTTTTTCATGTTCTAAGTGCATACCCTAATGAAAATGATGCCTGTCCAGAATTAACCGAGATATAATTTTGACATGTTTTTAAGTGGCTTGTGAGCATGTGACTGATCTTGCACAAAAACTGAATTTATTTAATACCTTCCATTTATCCAGAAGGAATAGGCAACTTCTAGAAGATTCTCACTTTATACTGAATCATTAAGAAAGCAATCACAAAAGAAACTAATAATTACAGCACTTTAATTTTCAAAAACATTGGCACATACCTTTATCATTTGTCCTTAAATTTATGAGGAAGTCAAGGACAGTCTTATCTTCTTTTAAATGGCGAGGAAATGGTGATTCAGGAAGGCTTAGCAGTTGTCCAGGGTTACATGGCTGTAGTGAGTGATCAGGCCAGGGCTACAAACCACATTCTTTGTATAATCTTTTTCAACTACACTATATGAGTCTTTTGGATGGTGGACAATCAACACTGCATACTAAATCAGCCCCAAGGATTATACTCTCTAGTTAGGGATCAGAAAACTGTGGTCTGCCAGCCAAATCCTGCCCACTGCCTGTTTTTGTAAATAAAGTTTTATTGGAGCACAGGTATACCGATTTGTTTACAAGTAGGCTCCTTTCATAGTACAGTGGCTAGAATATTTATAGTCTGGTCCTTTATAGGAAAAGTTTGCTGAATCCTGTTCTAGGTCATGGTTTTTGTGGTTCTCTTTAAGGGAGAGATGGTTGCTCAAAGACAGAGTCCTAGAGAATTGGTTCTCAAACTATAGTGTGCATGTAAATCACTTGGGGATCTGCTAAAATATAGAATATGTCTCAGGAGTGGGGCTGAGATTATGCATTTCTAACAATGTGCTGCTAAGGCTACCATGTAGGGACCATACTTTAGTGGCAAGCTTTTAGAGGAGGGGGTATAGGGTAAGGTTAGCAGCACAGGTGGGAAGTAGAGGCCTTTTGGGCCTGAGAACTTGTTTTCAGAGAGAAATTGGGGAAAGTTATTAGCTGGGAGTAAGTAGGGGGTTGGGAGTAAATGGGAACTTAAAATAATGAAGATTTGCATTGAAAGGAGAGGAAAAGGAAAAGATTGTTTGGTGGCATTGAGGACCCAGCAAAATAGGAAGTCATGAATTTGAAGGGCTCGGTCCAAAACAAGAATGTGGACTGTGGACCACGGCTGGGGCTTTGCCAGTCATGTGCGGCAAAAGGATAGGGCTACCTAGAGCGTGTGGTTATTGGTGAGGCGGTGGTCCAGGTGGTCGGCCACACATCCGGCAGGGTCGGGATGGGAAGAAGCTGATGACAGACAAAGGGTATGAGAAGGAACCAGAAGTGTCTGTGGTTCAGTATGGGCACAGTTAGATTGAGAGCCTGAAAGCTAGAAGAGTCAAAAAGGAATATTAGAATTAAATATTTTTCACATAAGGTAGAGCTAGGTGATAGAGTTTAGGATGGAACTGGAGAAGTTGAACTATGAGAACAGGTAATGACCAGGCCAGTCACAGTGACAGTAAAATAACCCAGGGAGGTGCTAGGACATGGGGCGAAGAGGAGACAGTTGTCAGAGTTTTCAGTCAATATTGGGGTGTGACCACAGGTAAATGACAACAGTAGACAAGGGTGGGAGGAAGTTCAGCCAGATGACCTGGACATCAAGGAGGAATGAAGTTCACACAAAGACAGAGAGGCCTTCTCCCTACGACTTCTGGCTGTTGCCATCATCCCTGGGACCAAGTGTGTTGGATGCGGCATTAGAGATCGGGGCGTGGCCATAGCTGCAAGAGGAGGACTATAATGCTATAGCAGTGTCCTCCAGGAGAACAACGCTTTTGGTGCTTTCTACTTTTCAGTTGGCTTTCCAAGTCCATTGAGGACCCAGGAGTGGTTTTTCATACCTAGGGCCAGACACTGGACAGCTGTAATTTCACTCCCTTCTCATCACTTCTCTCATTCTGCTGTCTTCTAATATGCAGTGTGTTCTCTTCCTACCTCTCTGAAGCTGACAGATGATAATCCATATGGCCATAGTATTTGTCATATTATCTTAAAAATCTTCCAAGATTTCCTAGATACAAGACCCCTGAGGTTGCTGCTAAGAGACAAAAACTGTCCGTAATAAAACAGGAGGGAGCCCAGGCTGTACTTGGTAATGAAGGGTCAGGGACCCTGTTCCTTTTTTTTGTATCTATATCCTGCTCTCCTTTTTGAAAAGGAGAGAACTGGCACCCCAGGCTCTAGGGTTGAATTCAGTTTCTGTTGTCTTCAGTCACATGATTCTGCCAAGCCGTGGGAAGGGACATGACATGGGGTGGTGGCGGATGCGGGGACGGCCACATGATTTCTGATTCACGAGGGATGCGTTTTTTCTCCGTGCCACCCTTCACACCACCTTTCAACATTTCTTCCAGACAAAGGGCCGGTGACCAGCATTCTCCCGTCTCAGGTAAACAATTCTCCAGTTATAAACCACCTTCTTCTAGGAAAGAAGATGAGAATGACAAACAGAGCCGCCAAGAACGCTGTCATCCACATCCCTGGCCACGCGGGGGGCAAAATATCTCCCGTCCCCTACGAAGACCTTAAGACGAAGCTCAACTCCCCTTGGCGAACTCATATCCGAGTCCACAAGAAGAACGTGCCGAGGACCAGGAGTCACCCGGGCTGCGGGGACACCGTAGGGCTGATAGAGGAGCAGAGCGAGGCCTGCAAGCCCAGCCGGCTGGGGGCGGCAGAGGCGCTGTCCTCGGGCTGCGCAGCCGCGGGCGCGGCGCGGCGGGAAGGCGGCGGCTCGGAGGGCGCAGGCGCGGGCAGGACGATCGAGGGCCAGTCCCCGGAGCCCGCGTTCGCAGACGCCGACGCCGACGTGTCCGCGGTGCAGGTGAAGCTGGAGGCCTTGGCCCTGACCCAGAGGGCGGCGGCGGCGGCTGCAGCGGAGCCCACGGCGCACCCACCCCGCCAGCAGCACTGCCCCGAGCCGCCCGGCGCGCCGGGGGAAAGCAAAGCCACCAGCAGAGCTCCCCACGGCTGCAACTCGAAAACCATCTTCAGCCCCTTCCCCAGTGTGAAGCCGCTGCGGAAGTCAGCCACCGCCAGGAATTTGGGGTTATACGGACCGACCGAGAGAACCCCGACCATGCACTTTCCTCAGATGAGCCGGAGCTTCGGCAAGGCCGGCGGTGGCAACGGCGGCACCAAGAAACGGTGATGTCCCCGCAGACACCGCGTCTGAGACTCGCCTCCTCCCGGGGGCGGGCGGCGCCGGGTCCCCGCTGAACGGCTCCGGAAGAGTTTTCGTCTGTCCAGTAGATAGGCTCAGAGACGAGCGGCGGTGTGTAAAGTGGGAGTTGGAAGTCTTGAAATGGGAGTTAGCATAGGGAGATTTTCCCGTCCACCTGATAACGGACGAAGTGGATTCTTGTGGCTAAATAAATATCGTGGTTTGAAAGTGTAAAGTTTCCCCAGGTTTTCATTGTGAGCTATTTAGAAAAGAATGTCAACCTAGACTGTTAACCTTCCTTCTTCCATCCTCCTGTTCTGAGGGCCTTCGGGGTCCCTGCGACAGCAGCCCCCAGACCTTCCAGTTCTCTGAGTGTTACACCAATACTCAAGCATGCACACACCAGCCTGCTGGAACAGAAGCTGTAAAAAGAAAGTTTCTTTGTTGCAAAAAAACTTCCCGATGTTCCCCTTCATGCTCTGTTGGAGGGATTGTTTGTATGTGTGAGTTTTTCCTCAGTGCCAGTCTCAAAATTGTTTTGTCTTTGTTTTCTGCTAAAGTGTAGGAGAAAATTCTAGATAGCCTTTCTTTAACTTTCTACCTGCAAAATGAAGAAAACCTTTATTCTGTTGAAGTTTAGGTTGATAACCAGCCTGAAGACCTTATGCAGAGAATAGGATATACATAGGATATACTTTAAGCAGTTGCTCTGAACAGCTTGCTCATGCCACTGAGCTTTTCCCCAGGTTCATTTTCTCCTCTCGAGGAGAGCTGTGGTCCTCAGTGGTACGGATGACTTGGTGGGCTCCCCGTGGCGCTCGAGGGCGTCCTCTGCCCTCTGCCAGGCCACGCAGCTCACTCACCCACCCACCAGCTCTCCACCGTAGACGCACAAGGCCTCTGCTCAGAAGCCAGAACACAGCCCCTGTGACTCTGTTACTTGAATTTTGTGCTTTTTTGATTGGAGTCCTTCGTTGAGTACTTTGTTACTTGAACACTGCCTTCCTCCAGAGACGGCCCCAGTGCTTTCTAGCTTTCTCTCGCCCACTCCTGCCTGGGCCCAGCGGGTCAGAGAGAGCACCTCTTGTCTCCACTATGCAGATGGGAACTCTGAGCCACAAAGAGGTGAATAGCACTTCAGTTACTCAAGGGAAATCCTCCTGGTATTCCATGTGACTTAGCCACGTTTCCTCCAGTGCAATAGGTGGGTGTAATGCTCTTTGCACACAGGTGCATTGGCTACCTAGGTGTCAAAACCAAGACTGGGAAGCCATTCACTATACTCCCTCCTGACTCAAAGGACCTTTTCTCCAGATGGCACAGAGTTCTGTGATGGCATTTCACAGAACCAGATCTGACTTCCTTATCCTGAAAAGGGATTTTAAAATGCTTCATGCACCTGCCATTTGGCTAAACAAAAGGCTCCCTCCTCGGTCCCCTACTCCCCACCTTCATTAGCAGAATAGACTTAGCATCTTTATCTTTATCTCTGGAAGACTTTTGGTGATGCTTGGCAGGAGTATTGTTGATGAATTCAATATTAATTGGAGCTAATTGGGTTGCTAATTCTGAAACCAAAGCTATAATTTTGGAGAGGGCTTTTACTCTGAGAGGTACTAATTTTTATAATAAAGTAGAGAATGTGGTTGTGTGGGCTTTTTTGAACAAAACATAAGAATGTCATATTCAGTGAGAAAAGCTATTTTATCCCTTTTGTGGTATTTTTACCCCCAAAGGAACTGAAGATGGAAAAGATGACTAATAAGTTACTGCAGTTTTGGTCTTGCATTCTGTACCATCTGAAGTTAGCATGCAGCTTCTTAAAAAGCAGCCACACCCACAACCTATTTCTTGGGAAGGCTGTGGGTGGAGAGTTGGGCTTACTTTGCATACCACCCCCAGGAAACCCACTGCATTTTCCAAAGTGAAGCAAATGACACGAGTCTCTTCCTTCTGTTAAACTTTACGGATAAGAATGATTCCACCTCATATTCTTTTCTTCTCCCCCTTCCCAAATGAGTCAGAATGGCTATTCTGACTTGACATCCCTCAAGGAGAACATGAGAATTGTTCTTTCCTCTCTCAAATCAGCTCACTAGCTCCCTGATGGTTGAGGTTCCAGACGGGTGGAGGCCAGTTCCCACCGAGTGCGTGGGGCTGCACCATGGCCCTCTACCAGCTGTCTTAGTGTTACCAGCACATGATGTGCCCTGGGAACTCTCTCTTCTCACCCATGTCCTGGGGTGGGTCTTCCTGAGAAGGGGATGGATAAAATGGCTCACAGTTTGGGATAAGTATATGTTGAAAGAATGAATGACTAACTGAAAGGATGACAGTCCTTTGAGATAAAAATTACCTTGTCAGAATTTTAAAAAAATCCAACAGATTCCTTTTAAAGCACTCTTGTACCACTAACATGCATGCATTATACCAAATCATCACAGTGTGAGTTGGTCAATTTATGAGCCTTGCCTACTTTAGAAAATAAAGAATTCTGCAGTAGCCTCTACCACCCAGCATGTGCAAAGACCAGTACAGACTTGCTATCTTCCCTATGTATTGGACACTGTATGCAAACACCAGAAGTACTTAACAAGTAGCAGTTTCTTGATTTTTAGATCTGTCTGCAGCCTCTTAGCACTTCTGCTGGGAGCTGACTCATTCCGATACCTCTGTCCTCCTACAAAAGCATCCAGATGATCTAGACCTAGTTTGTAATGTTACCCTATCAGCTGTAGCTGTTTGGAATTATTGTATTCCTTTTTTTGTCTCTCTTGTTGTTCCGAAGAATTGTATTGATTACAAAGATATATGCATAAAGATTCTCTTTGTTGTAGCTGTTGTGCTGTTTTCTGAGTGCATGGGTGGAACACTGTTGCAACATTCCCTTCTCCCTTCTCTTTCCTCTTCTTCACTCCTCCCTCCCCCACTCTGTCACATGAACCAGGAAAGCAGCCCAGTAAGCTCCTCTCCCCAATCTAATCACTGGGTTGCAGGGTGGCCTATGGAACTTGCAGAATAGCTGGTTCCTAAATATGAGTAAGCAGAGTTTACTTAAGAGAGTGTGTGTGTGTATAAAAAATTAAACTTTAGATCTATTTTCCCTTAATAAAATAGAACAATAAGAACACAACTTAGCTTCATGGTGTTAAGGATTCTAGATAGAGAGCTATGATAAGTGTGTAGTTGCTGCCATCTCCCCTTGTAAAATCCCTCTTTACGTGGTTTCTGAGTCACTTTGCTGCCTATGGCAATCATTTGAGGCGGCATTTAAAATATATTATTTTTTTCTAATTAGAAAAGTAACATGTTTTAGAAGATTTGGAAGACACGGCACAAGGAATCATCAATATTCTGGTATAGATCCAATACTTTTGTGTGTGTGTGTGTGTACACACCATTATCTACACAAAGGTGTGTTGAACATACTAGTTTAAGCTGCCCTTCTAATAAATGCGCTTCCAAACTATTTTTAGTGAGTAGTATTCCATCATGTGTTCGTGCCAGAATTCACATAATGGGTACCTTGTCAAACAAGTGATTTCTGATTGCAGGTAGTAGTGGAGAGAGAATCCTGATACATCTTTGTACACAGCCTTAATTATTTTCTTAGGATATGTTCATAGAAGTGGAGCTGCGGGGTGAGAAAATATGTCCATTTTTAAGACATATATATCCAAATTGTCCTTTAAGGTTGAATTTACTATATAAGCAGAGAATGGAATGCCTGCTTCTCTACACTCTGGAAGAAGTAGCAGTTGTTTTTTTTTTCCCACTTTCCTAGGACCTTTTGTGTTGAAGAGTTGATAGCAGTGTTGAATAGAAGCAGTGATAATGAGCACTCACATATCATTCCTGACTTTTAAGAAAAACCCTTAAGTAAGATAGTTGCTGAGATTTATGTTAGGTACGTTTTATTGGGTTAAGGAAATTATTATTATTATTTTTTTTAAGACTAGGTCTCTGTCTCCCAGGCTGGAGTGCAGTGGGGCAATCATAGCTCATTGCAGCCTTGTACTCCTGGCTCATACAATCCTCCCACCTCATCCTACTGAGTAGCTGGGACTAGAGGTGTGTGCCACCATGCCTAGCTACTTTTTTCATATTTTTAAGATGGGGTCTTGCCATGTTTCCCAGGCTGGCTTCCAACTGCTAACCTCAAGTGAGACTCCAGAATCAGAGATTATGGCTTTTATTTTTTTCTTGTTAAGAGGTTGTTTTTTTTTTTTTTCCATTGACAGGTATTGAATTTTATTAAATGAACTTTAATTGTGTCCTTCGAGAAAGGACTTGGTGTCTTAAACTCAAGAAAATAGCCATTACCAGTTTTCATCAAAGAATATTAGATATTTTAGAGTTGGAAGTGATGCAGTAAAAGTTTTATGTGCAAAATGTTCATTGAAGTATTTATAGAAATGTGAAATCAATGTAAACATCTGAGAGTAGGGGAAATGATTATGTGAATCATGATTAATTCCCAGGATAGCACTTCAATGGCCCATGAGCATGTGGGCCATGGAAATGGCAGTTACCCGTTGCCAACACCAGGAAGTCCAGATTAAAGTCAGCAAAGTCTGGAGTCCCAGAGCTGCTGGGATACAGCCATGTGGTTCTTCCACAAAGGCAGCCTGTGCTCACTGTAGTGGGGACTGAATGGGCGCTGGTGCTGTAGGTGTTGGATCAGCTTCCATGCGGTTCCCTGTGGCCATCTCCTGATGCTGAGTGTCTTACTCAGTTTGGGCTGCTGTATCAAAGTGCCATAGACTGGGGAGCTTAAACAACAGTCATTTCTTTCTCACAGTTCTGGAGGATAAGAAGTCCAAGGTGAAGGTGTCTGCAGATTTGGTGTCTGGTGAGGGAGGACCCACTTCCTGGCTTGCAGAGGGCTACCTTCTTGCTGGGTCCTCACTCCATGGAGAGAGGGAACACGTTCTGGTCTGTTCCTTTTCTTATAAGGGCACTAATCCCATCAGGAAGGTCCCATCCTCATGAACTCATCTAAACCTAATTACCTTCCAAAGGACCCACTTCCAGATACCATCGCATTGAGGGTGGTTTCTTTCTTGGTGCTCTTCTCTGGTCAGACCAACGGACCTCCTGCAAAGTCACGCTCCATCTCATTCTCTTCGTTCCTTCCAGCCTAGGCAACCCTTAAATGATGGCTCCATCCTGTGTTCCAGGGGCTTCAAGAGTCTTTTTTTTAAGTCAACTGTTTAATATTTGCATTCATGATGTGACAATTCTAGTTTTCCTTTAGGCAATGCTGATTGCCAGGAAGGAGGTAAATCAATTCCCTTAAAGAGCCAAAGGCTTTTCTTGGAGGAAACTAGCTGGTACCTTGACCCATGAATCTCCCTATCCCTGGACAGTCTAGGAATCTATATTAAAACAAAACAAAGCAACCACAAAACGAGAAAGGTCCCTTAGTAATTTTAATGTTGACCTAGTTTTGGTGACCACTGATTTACCTAACTATAGTCATGTATCACTTAACGATGGGGGTGCATTCTGGGAAATGCATGTGCAAACAGCAGAGTGTACTTACACAGACCTATGGTAAGCCCCCTGCCCCCCCAGGCTGTGTGGCATGTTGCTCCTGGGTGACAGCCTGTTGGCAGTTGTAAGACGATGGTAAGCATTTGTGTATCCTTAAATATAGGAAAGGTACAGTAAAAATACAGTATTATAATCTCATGGGGCCACCATCATGTATGGGAAACATTGTTATGCCACAAGTGACTGTATCTTCGTGGTCTCCTGACTAGTCTCACTGCCACCCTTCTTGGACTTTCCCACCTCGCCCCACCTCTCTGCTTCTGTGGTGACCCATTGCTGCCAGAGTGAGCTTTCTAAAACGAAAAACTTGTCAGGCCACCCTTCTGGTCAAAATCCTTCCATCATCCTCATTTTGTGGAGGATAAAAGTTAAAATCCTTAGCATGATTTTGCCCATGATTAATTTTCCAGCTTATTTTCCCGTTCCTCCCCATTCATTTCATTGCCTCGTGCAACCTGTCATCACCAGCACAATAACATCCACCGTGTGTTGAGCTCCTCTGCTTAGCACTGTACTAGCTCCTTTCCATATGCTATCTCACTTCTCCCTCCCAAGACCCCTGCGAAGCATCTTAGCATTGGAATGCAGATAATGAAAGTGGGGCAAGCAGTTATGTCCTTGGCCACTGTCACACAGCTGATAAATAGAGTCTGGAGCCACCTGATGCCAGAGCCTGAGACTCTGAGCTCTTCCCTTGCGACACTGGCTTATAACTTTGCACATAACTTGAAGTTTTCTGAAGGCTCCCACTCCCCCAACACTTTCATACCACTGTGTATTTATAAACCCTTGCTTTGAGCACCCTCTTTGCTCTAGTCTGCCTGGGAAATACCTACTAAACATCTCTTTTGTCTTATCATACACATTAATGGGGTCAAATCCAATCCATGATTTGGGGCAAGTTACTTAACATCTGGGACCTTCAATTTCCACATGTGGACGATGACAGTGATAATTTTAGCCTCATAGGGTTTGTTGTGGACGTCTATCTTTGCTGCCTAGAATTTACTACCTATCTTTGGCAACAATGCTCTGTTTTTGCTTGGAGAACCAGCCCACCCCCACCTCTGTCCATGTACCTCTGGTGAGGTTGATGGCCTGGGCTCAGCCACTCACACTCTTCCTTCTCCTGCCCATGATGTCTGACCCATGGACGAGCACACGGGCAAAGAACTCAGCTCCTGGGCTCTTGAACTCTCGGGGAAGCAAACTCATTCACTTTTCCTGGATTTTAACCTGGAGGGTAAAAGCCCAGGAGTTGCTGTTGGCTGCCATCCTGTAACCATGAGGGGAGAGCTTGTTGAAGAGTCAACACTGAGTAAGAAGAACTGAGAAACAGAGAGAAATCAGGCCCTTTTTATGGTCTTGTGAGCCCTGGATCAGGCCATACCTGAAGCTATTTCATCTCCAACTATTTCCTACATCAGTTAATATTCCAATTTTTGGTTTTAGCCAGTTGGTCAGATTTTCTATCACTCATGTTGAAAAACTCTTAATTGGAACAGAAGTGTTATGAAGATTTCAGATTATAAAGGCAAAATAGTGGATGTATCGGTGAACAGTAGCCGATATTATTTGAATGATACAGTAACTCATACTTCTTGTGAGCTGCTCGTTCTCTCTTTTTTGGCTTTCTCCTCGTGGTCACAACAGGTAGGGTAGAGAGGTCCCAGAGTCAAGGAACATGCTTCCCGTTTCACGAAGAGGGTTCATTTCCTCAAGCCCTTCGAGTCTTCTTTGGTCTCATATCTCCTTGTCGCACCGAAGGAGTGGTGATTGTGCACACGAAACTGTCTTTCAACAGTTGTTTTGTCTACCATTCCAGTTCCGTCTGCCATTCACGCTGAGTCCTGTGGAGAGCTGAGCGGCTGCAGGCAAAACATGAAGAGCTGTTTCACCAAACCCCACGATATTTGGGAGCCCAAGCAGCATATTTGTGGGATTTCTCTCACGAAGTGTAATGGAAACAGAGAGCAGCATTTGCTCACCTTCCCAGGTGGCCAGAAGCTTTCTCCCAGAGAAGGCTCTAGCACATGGCTCTCTGCTGGGAGGCAGCGGGAGTGGGCGGGGGACTGGGTCTCCCGGGCCCTGCAGAGTTCAGCAGCACCATGGGAGCACCCGCCGGGGGCACACTTGTTTGGGAACACATGAGAGGCAGCCCCTGAGGATTTTAAGAAAACCTTGCCCAATTAGGGGGATGGGAGGACTTTACAGGTTCTTTTTTCGAAATATCTGTGGGACCAGTGTTTTGAGTCTCTGCTGCTACAGGGACCCTATCTG